CTATTTAATATTGTTTCAATAGTCGTAGTATATAGTAGCAGCATTTGTTATTTTACTCCCGCTATCAGGTTCTTACTCACAGCTTACCTCTAAGATATTTTGTATCGACTGATAATTTTTATACGTAGTTGAATAATGAATAAAATAAATAAATAAATTTAATTGAAAAAAATTCATTAACAATAAGTGTTAATAATTGTTTGCAGATGTGAATTCATACCCTAATGCAAGGCGTAATCGAAATTTATTTAAAACACTTTCTTATAAAGCAATCAAAACTTAAATACGTATGGATCCGCCTGAGTGGCCGAGTAGGCAGGAGTCTCGACTAGCAACTCAGTACTCGTGGGTTCAAACCTCAAGTGCGGTAGAGTTTTTAATAAAGCCGAAAGCCTTAGATACTAGTGCTCTAAGACTTTAGTCTTAGAATTTTTACTCTCTGGCTAAACTTATAATAATAATAATAATAAATACATATGAAAATCGTTTTCTATTTCTGATAAGTACGCGGTATAAAGAAAAAAGTCAAGCAAAATAAACAAATACTTAAGTTCACACTCACTTACTTTTCCCTACTTTTAGTCTTGTTCAGTTCTTGTTCAGTTAATCGATTCGTCAATTGTAGCCTTCATTTCTCTGATGAGAATCTTATGTCAAACATGTACTCAAAACTGAATTTTCGAAATCTTTTTTATAAAAACTTTTAGGAAACCTATTGGAATATTGTTTTGAAAAAGAAAAAAAAATTTTTTTTATTGAAAAACTTGAATTTGAATACTAAATAAATACAGGCCTCCATCGTGGAGTGGAACAGATCGCAATATTTGATCCTTTAATCCACATTGAAATTCATTTGCATTGACTTCGTTTGTTTGTTTTGCGAAACAGAACAACGCGATAGGCGTATTTTTTTCAAGTTGTATATATATTAAAGCTCGGTTGATCGATATTCAAAGTCTGCCAATTTTAAAGGAGTCAAGCGTGAACGTTATAGTCAGGCAAGTCCAGCTGTTAAATACGGCACATCACATTGTTTAATGCATTTATTCATCTATTTTCGATAGAGAAAACAAAAATTATATATTGATCCCATGTCAAGACTTATCTACTTTTGATGAGAAACTCTCGAAATGGCGAAAGGAAAAAGGGTAATGATCATAAGAACTTTTCTCCTTAGGGCAAGTTATGTCAATATGTTAAATTTCATTTAAAAATAATTCGGCTCTGTAGGTTAATCCAAATGTGAGCGGGCTAACATCAGCTGGACAGATAGATGGTTAGTAATCATTTTCTGGATCGTTTGGAGTGGTAAAGAATGGGTCTCTTGCAAGTCGCTTACCACGAGTGATGTACAGTCTTTTTATTTATAAAAATTACTTTTTTATACTCTATTTCATATATGGCACAAGGACCTGTAGCATCCAGAAGCGCTTAAGATAGACCCAATTTTTATTATATGGACCGATTTAGAATCATTTTTATTATAAGCTCGTCTGTTGACTATGTACTGTTCCGTTCAACCTGTAGGTCGCATTTTTTGAGATACTTTGATGATATTTTTTGCACAGAAGTGTTTTGGCTTAAGGACGAACGCTTTTAGAGGTGATCAGGATCTGTTCGCTTTTTTGATCACTTCCCATATGACGCTTTATGTTGAAAAGTTGTTTTTTGGAAAAAATTTTTCGCCAAAACTCGCTTTGTAAAGATACTTTGATATTTTAAGTTGATATGAAGAATTTGGTTCGACTCGGGCAATTTTTTCAATAGCCCCTCATATAACCGTTTTTACGAAACATGAGTCTTCATATGGTAAAAAGGTCTAATTTTTAATATTTCACGGAGAAAATAAGTTCATAACAGTAAATTGGCATAGAAATCAACCTTGCTGAACTTGGACCATCTGGGTCTATTCTTCTTATGTCAACGCGTATGAGGACGTAAACTGTTATACGCCAAAATAGCGTAATAGTTAAAATTTTATGATGAAATTTTCTTCCTGGTAGTAATTTGACACATTTGAACCACATCTGCCTATTTCTTAGACCCCACCCAATGTACGATTTAAGTGAATAGTAACCCATTCAGAGAAAGATTTAATATTTATCTATTGTAGCAGTTTAGCACATAAATAAACGGTATTAAATTTGGATTACATAGGACTATTTTTTAACATACCATAAAATAAATAGGAGTTATCATGAAGAAAAATCAATCCATTTAATGAAATGAGAAAGCGGAAACTGGAGGAAATAACTTAAGTTTGCAAAATTCGAATCACGCCCCGTGATGTTTTGGCCATCCTCCAATATGCGGTCTTTCATGAAAATGATATTTAACTTTTGGTATCTTATAAGCAAAACGAATGAATGACTACGTTAGGCGAATTGGTATAGACCTTGTCTTCTTTTTTAAGTAATATATTTTTTGTTGCTAATGCGAAAACATTGTTTTACCCTATACGATTTGTGGCACCAGGATATATTTAGCTTGTGCCTATGTATACATCGACGAGAATGACATGATATAGACTCGACTTTTATTCTACCAATCGATTTAGAATTATTTTCTCAATTGATTTAAACTTGTGTCCGTCCCTGCTTTGTTCAGTCTACAGTTCGTAATTTAGATATTTTTATGAAATTTGATACATCGATGCTTTAGATTGGTGTAGAGTATTTAAGGATGTGCCCACTATGTTGTTTTAATAAAATATTAAAAAACAAAAAAAAAAAAAAGCAGAAAGTTGGTTTTAAGCCCTGTGTCGATCTCTTGTTTCGTTGATTAAATTGTTCAAAGTCTATATAATAACGATTGCGATTGCGATTGCGGTTGGAGGTCTAATGTGTTTTTGAATTTGATTAAAGCGTTTTCAAAGTGCAAAGAAATGTAAAAAGGAATATGTAAATGAGGTAGATATGTATGTGAAGAGGATTGTTTTAATTTATGCAATGTGTATGCAAGCCGTTCATCATTTCATTTAAGGTTAATTTTATAAAATTTGTTTTTGATAGTAAAGCTTAGCGAGCCAATACATCTGGCTTTGAGTATATACGAGTGAGTGTATACGCGATTATATGGTATATTTAAAACTAATTGTAGTAATATGGTACCGATAATAAATTTAATTTAAGTATATTAATTAATAGGGGAAAATATTTCGAACAACAAGAATTTTTTTTTTTTTTATAACATTTATTAAATAGATTTTAATTTAAGATATATATATATATATATTAAAAAAAAAAAAAAAATAATAATAATAATAATAAATATTAAATATTAATTGGGATATTCTAGAGGATGTGTTTCGGTTTTTGTTTTATGTGCTAAAACACTATCGGATTTATGGTAATTTTTGAAATATATACTAATACATTATATATTATGAATCAACATATAACATATTTAAACATTAAAATCAGTGGGGTTGGGGGGGGTTAGACGTTGGTATAGGAAAAGAATTAAATTTCGCAACAAATTGTGAACATTAACATCAAATTGACACTCATTACATTACAAAAGATAAAACTTATATAAAGTTATGTAAACTTAAAATTACCCTCTGCCCCTCTCACTCACTCTTTCTCTCTTAATATAAATCATAGATTTGAATTTGGTTTTAGTATTATTCCTTTTCTGCCGCTTACACATAATATTTTATTTATTTATTTATTTATTTTTTTTTTTTGTCAATTTTATTTTAGATTTATTATAAGATTTTCTTTTTATACCCAGCACCGATAAATAAGAAGCTTATTTTTATAATTCAATTGAAACAATTGAAAAATGCACCCCATCATGTGTTCGTAAACTATATGAATTCGTTCTGATTAAGGGGCAACTTTTTCGTCAGCCTGTCTATAGGGCGTAAGTATCAAGTTAATAGAAAACTAATTAATCTAATATTTTGATTATTATAGCGATATATCCCACAATAACGCCAAGCCATTGTAGTGTAGTGCAAAACTGAAGGAATTTCATAAATGATAACAACAACAAAATATATAACCGCGATATGATAATCAGAACTCGCGCATACGAATATACGTATGCTAAAAAAACACATTTTTGCCTTGAGTGATAGATATAATGGAGCGAATATCGTTTTTATACCCATCATCAAAGGATGTGGGTTATGTTCGGTCTGTGAAAACGTTCACAACACCCGGTAGACAACTTCAGAGGCCCCATAAAGTTTGTAACAGGTTTTATCAAATTCAGCCGGCATCAAATTCTGCATAAATTTAAGCATGTCCGTCTATTTGTCTGTCTTGATACTCTTAGTTGCAAAAACGAAGCTATTGATTTCAAATTTCTCGCACACATTAGAAGGTTTATAAAATCTAAATGGACCAAATTAGTCGAAGCACATGCCCACAATACGATGTCCAACTAACTGAGAAGACCTCTGTTTTTGAAAGTTACAAAAAATTGACTTTTTGCTTAGACAGATTTACAAAGATTTGAACGTATCTTCTATGGCTAATGCTATAAGTATCCTTATAAGAGTGAAAAAATGTTGCCATGCTTAGGCAGTATTATGTGATATTAAGTTTTGATTATTTGTTAAAAACTAGAATCCAACTTCAAGAAAGCTATAAGGCATATATATACATTGTCAACCAGTGTCAAATTCGGAATGCAAATAAGCATGTCCGTCTGTTCGTCCGTCTTCACAATTGTCTTGTATTCTGCGGTTAGCAAAAATTAAGATATCGTCTACAAATTTGTAAAAGAATTCGTTTGAAGGACACGCCTGCAATGCTCTCCTATCCGATTTTTTGTCTCGCCGCTCAATACATGCACGATATAAATCTCCACAAAACCATTCAACAAAAATGTAAAAAAATTAAGCCATGCTCTTCTAATATTATAGGGTATAGAAATCTAGTTTTCTCTTTTTTGCTTTGTTTTTTTTAACCTTTTTTTTTTAATATAACAGTGATGGGTATAAAAAATTCGGTTACAGCCGAATATAATTTTCTTATTTGTTCTATTTGTTTACTTTGTCATTTTGAATTTACTTTAATATTTGTTATTATCGTGTAAACGTTATATTGAGTGACGGACACTTGCGGACACTTTGGCGTTGCCCATTTATATTTAGTAATGGTACAGGAGTAGCTGTACCCGATACAGATGTTATTTGTCTTACCATTCCGCTTCCCAACTGTTGCCATAATCCTGTACCCGAGCCCAATGGTCCAGTTGATAATACCGTTGATGGTCGTCGTGAACGTATCGATTGCATACTGGATGATAGCAAAAATGGCACGCTGCTTGAAGTATTTGGCATTGATCCGCCCTGTTGTGTAGAGGATAATAAATGAGATTTCTTTGAAAGATTAAGAATTTCCAATCAGTCGATAAGAACTGAATTTATATATATGTCATACATATATATGTCATATTCTTATTCGGTGTCTTTTAATATATATAAGAAAATTTTAGCCTCAATTTATATAACCCATGCATAATGAATAAGAAGAAAAAAAAGAAGAAGAGTGATTTCGTTCAAAGTGGATCGAATTTCTTTATACTTACTGCTCCTGGGTGCTGCAATTAGTATTCAATACTAAAATTTACCCACAATTCGTACAATGCATGCAGTTTAGACCAAATTTTTAAATACCTACCTGAAGTTCGTATTATATTCAATTGTCATCTCCTCAATTGAAGATCTTCTCATTCGTTACCCTTACGTATGGCTCGTTTTACATGAGGCATACACGGTACATTTTCGTTTTCGATATTACACGGTTTCTAGATTACGATATTAAAAAAGTATCAAAAAGATCGAATTCGATTTCCTACGCAGTCACTGTATCCACCACCGAAGCGGGCGTGGGTATGTATATTCGTGTCCCATAAAGTATATATAGTCTCGATCGGCATTAATTTGTAATAATTGCTAAAAGCTTTGTTCGGATCACAAAATGAAAATATCACCTTCAACTTTGATAGATCCATGGGAAATTCTTGCTGGTATTGAATATTTGCACTATCGGTTCAAGGGCACGCCTATATTGCAATGAACACTTTGGCTATTCAAATAAACTCATGCACACTATAAAAATTTTCACTTTTATTCCAAAAAAATTGGGAAAAAAATTTTTTTTTTGTATTTTTTAAGAAAAATCGGAAGGGTACTAAAGTACCGATTACAGCCAAACATAATTTTCTCAATTATTTTATTCGTCAAATGTCAGGGCAATGACAGTTGTATGACACGAAATTTACATTGAGATGACTTACTGAACAAATCCTCTACAAGAGATGTGAGATAGAAAGATGAAAGATATTATCCCGTTAGAAGCGGCCCCCACGAAGAGTAGGCCTTCAATAAACTTATTAATGTAACTATGAGCGTAGAAAAAAAGCATATACTATGAGATGAAGAAACTAGAGATTCTAGCGATAAATTTATTTTAATTGTTTACCAAATGCAAACTGATATTGTTTGTGCCTACCTATCTATCAAGAACGTATTAAAGCTTAAAATAATTTTATTTATAACACAAAACATTCTGAAGCCAATTAAGATTGAGTGGTTGGGAGTGGAGTGAGTGGTTTTGCGTTATAACGCTGCTGTAGTACAAAAAAATGCCAACTTTTTATAGATCCCAATACGATGAAGGTCTACGAGTAATATTCCATTTTATGTGCCATTGCTTTGTCGTAAAGGTATAAAAAAAAAGAAGAAAACTTTATGTTGCTTTTCGAATTAAGCTTTAAATATTTTAAATATTTATCGCTTATGCTTCTCACCTTTGAGCTGCGGCCTCCTCTTTGCCTGTACAGGGGTTGTAAATATTTTTAATTCATACTATATATATATATACATATATATGTACATAGCGTGACACTGCGTGCGAGATGTTAAGCCTTCACGATAACAGATAAGCAAACAAATGAAATTTTTACAATGCGAATAGGATTAACAAAAAAAAAAAAATTGTTAAAATAAATTATAAAACAAATCCTTATACAATTCATTATTATAACAAATTTACATGGTTTATTTTATACATACATATGTCGGGCAATAAAAGGCAATACAAGTTTATTTGAATTCAAAGTTTTATAAATTATTTAATTATATTAAACACTTGCAGAGAAGGTTGCCTAATAGGAAGGGATAAATTTAAAGAAAAAATTTTTTGTACGCAAGCAAAGGTGTGAAGAAAGCGCAAAGGCAAAATTGATAGCAACGAAAGTCGATAACGAAGCGAAAATCTGTACTCACGAACATGCTCCGTGCAAGCTGTAAATATTTCCAATAGCCAGGAAAATTAAAGTAAAGACAAGTAAATGAATAGAAAAAGAAATGTACACACCATCAAAAACGGCACATACGTATACAAACTACATCGATAGAACGAAACGACAACGATTAATAGGAAGGGGGAAGTTGAAATCACAAATAAAAAAGAAAAAAATAAAATAATAGGAGAAGATTTAGTAGTAGTTTCTACGGTGAACTTGTTGTTGTTATACCCACCAACCACAAATATTTCTACTAAGGAATTCATTCACACATACTGCATGTGCAAAACTACTTAGAATCTTGACATTCTTTTTATGTACATTATGTACGTTAAGCGATAAGATTACCGTATAATTTTCTTTGTCTTAAATGAATCATCATTCAATACTCAAAAGTGTTGGCTGAAGGGGTTTTATTCGAGTTTTCAAGTTTAAGTGCAGATGCTATTAAGCAGGCAATTTCCCTTTACTGGAATTCGGAATTTGACAACAATAGTTCAACAATTTGTCGACTTTAAATAGTAGCCATTTGATGAAGATGAGAAGGTTTAAGAGAAGCTCGATTTGGAAGGCCCTGGCCTTGCGGATCAAAGTTAAAGCTACAATTTTATTGAAACTGTAACGATTCGCGATCTATCCGCTTCCAATACTCAGCCTATTAATTTTAAATACTAAAATTAATTTCTCTAAAGAAAAAGACAGCACACTGCTGCCTCTTCTTTCTGAAATTCATGGTACATTCTACTAATCGTCGAGAAATTTTTTCGAATAAAAAGTAAATCGAATTCTAGCCTTTTACGTTCAGTTGCATTTTGAACTGAAATCTTTCGATTATTGTACATTGCATTTTCAAATTTTTCTCGTTTACCCATTAAATTAAAAAGTTGTAAATTGTAAACTTGCACTTATATTAAAATTAACTCTTTCTGTTTTCCTGGCGAATTCCAATACCGGATGTGCCTGATAGTCCAGAGTCGTAAACGCATTTTGCATAAATGCAAATAATCAGCCACGCCTATTCAATATTATAGAGTAAGAAAGTTAAATTTTTGTTGTTGCTTTTCAAGGACGAAGTTGCTGGATATCAAACGTTTGGTCGTAGGCCGAACTTACTTATTATTACTTATTTTGACGGACAGACGAACAGTCAAACTTGGACTAATTCAGAATTTCAGCTTATGTACGATGTAAGCTTTTTTTCATCATCGAGGCAAATTGAGAATTGCGTTTGCGAAGCGAGCGAAAACGAGAATAAACGAGAATTGAATGATTTTATCTCTTCATTAAAACGACCGAACGTGTGATTCTGGTTTGATCGGGTCTATCTCAAGTCTATCTAAATGGTGTATACATCCGAACAAACTTGATATAATCTTGTACGAGAAGTGGTCGGCCTGTCTCTATAGATTGTAAAAATTTATGGCCTGTGTATACCGTACACACAGGGCTTTCTGACTGTGGACTTGTGCAGCAGCTCGCGATAAGATTTGTGGATAAATGGGGGAAATATATATATATATATGTATATATAAATACAAATGAATGAATTTAAAGTATAAATAATTTTCTGTCAAAGACAGAGGATTCCTTTCGGACTGTGAGCTTTTGAAGTTAATCGTGATAGGATTTGTTAGAACATGTGAACGAATTGAAATTAACTAATCTACATTATATTTTTTAAATGAATATTTTAACACAATTTTCAAAATCCTTATTAGATATTAAGTCTTAACTGCGCATAAATATATTTATTGGCAAATTTGTTTGATGTATAACTAAAAAAATGTCCTTCATGTGGTTTTGAACAAGAAACTTTCAAAACACTTGACAAATTTCATTTTCTCAATTTCCACGATAGAATATACTGGCTTATCGTGTTTCCTAAGTGACGTAATAAGCCTTTTTATATATATAACTCTTGGTGGCAAGGTACAATAACAAGTTGGATTTCGCCCAAAAAAAAAAAATTAATAAATCAAAGAAACAGAAAAGAGAGCAACGAAATTTAATTGTAACGTTGCACTCAACATTACGATATTACAGCAAATCTTAGAAGAAAGCAAGTCGATAACAAAATTTAAATAAGTTGAAATTAAATTTAAACGAAGCGAAAGAAAACAAACGAAGAGAATGCGAACATACTATAATTGTACAATAAAATGAATTTATTTTATATGTGTGTATTTGTTTAAAGTGTAGAATGCACTGTGTATGCGTATGTGTACATATACGGGCGTACATAATACAGTTTGGTGAAAAAGTATTGAGAAATTGTTTATTAAATTTTCTTTAGTGAAGTTGTGACACTTTTCGGGAAAAGTGATTTGTGATTTATCATCGAAAAACTTGGCTCGGAAACACATGGCGTGGCGTGGAAAAACTTGATTTTCGTAGATATTTTTTGAAATCAATTTGACTTCATCCGCGGACGTTTGCACAGAACAGTCAAACTTGGCGTAGTGTATGCTATACGATAGATGCTTAAAAATTTCCTAACTAATTCTTGTTAATTTTAGCTGGATATGTGTTGTCTGCCCTTGCCATGGAAAGGAACATGACATCTCTTCCATTGATCGAATTTAGTCGGTTTTTTTTAATACGCTTTCTGAAATCTTTTTGTTTGCTGACAATAAAGATTCGAATTAATTTTAGATTCAGCGAACTTTTTCAAATGTTTCACTCAGTTTCGTATATGATACGATTAACATATCTATCCCGGTATATGCCACGGAACAGTATCAGGTGAGAAAAATCTCTCAATATTTTTTCCTGAAATTAATATATTTAAAAATGTTAGTGTAATTTCCTCAACCATTAAGATATATAAATTATATTGCAATATGTAGGTGTATATAAAGGTGTTTCGTAGGTGAATGCGTACGCATAAGCATCTGTAATATAATAACAAAGCATTTTTTTTTTTTTTTTTTTTTTTTTTTTTTATGTAGGTAAGCAAAGAGACAAAACATAATAGATATTAAATTTTAGAATACGATACGTAAGTTAACGTTTCCTAGCTGCAAGAAAATGTAGGATGGAAAGTACCTACAATTCTTAAATATCAAATCAATCGTAACCGGATCGTATCAATGAAATATTTATCCCTTGAGAAATTAATATAAATATAAATTTATATGTAACATTTTCATTAATCGGAATCGACACAGACATGAATAAATAAATGCTTTTCCTCTCATTCCAACATACAACTAAAGAGTATTGTGTTTGAATTATCTATTACCGATTGATTTTTATCATAATTGCTATATGCCTGCAAGAAGCTCTTCACTGAATTGAATTCAAAATTTCTTTAGAAGTCACTCGTAGAAAATGTATGCGAATTCGTCTATATGTTTCGCCAATGCGAGGCTATAGATATTTAAAAGTACAATAAAAACGAAAAAGGCCAAAGTATTAAAAATCGTATATTTCTTAAGGGTATTTCAGGTCTTTTGTGAACCTTTGGAAGTCTTGATTTTTGCATTTTGTTGTTCACTTTGTCTCTTATAAATATTGGAACCAAGGTTTATATTATGTTTCAGGTCGGCTCTTTTTTTACTGTGCAATCAATTGCAATCATTCTTCATCGTCCAGTCCCTATCGCTAGTAATTATGATTATTTCAGATCATTGCGATCATCGATCTTAAAAACTTTGTCAAAAAGAACAACACAATTACAATGAAAGGAACCGAATAGGCTAAGGAACTGAGTACAGTAAAGAGCTGAAATAGATGTTTCTAGTTATTAAAAATCTATATCAGGTTTAGCGTGAAAGGGCTCATTTCAAATGCGCTGGCAGTGCGCTGAGATTTAACAAGTTTCGAAGGTTACACTCGCCCAATTGGACACAGGAAATGCATAGACAAAATCATTACCTTTTTAATAAAATTATTGTAAGTAATGGGGAAGCTTATTTTCATCTGAGATTCCGGATATCTAAGAGATATAGTTCTGCAAACGCAAGGATAAATAGTTTAGAAGAGCTTTCGGGCCTACGTTTTTTCGAAACTGTTACTGGTTATTGGTTCCACTCTCACAATGAATTTGCTGTCAAAGGATGGAAATTGACCTGTGTTCCCACTGTACGGTAGAATTCCCGTTGGTCACAGCTACGATAAGTGCTCAGTCGGTAATGACATAATGCTTAGTAATTGGGCATACAACTACTAAGGAGCGATAACCACTTTTCCTCAAGGATACTGATTGAATTTTATGGATCTGAAAGTAATTTTATAAATGTGCATGTTGCCCTGAAGAACTATGTACCTTCGCCTATGATGGATACTTACTTGCATTTCATGCACATATAGACACATTACACACGTGTTTATTAAATTGATGAAAAGAAGTCAAAATTTACATCACATATACGAAGTTGATGGAATTTTTCAGGAATTGTCGACCCGTTCGTTAGTAAACCTTTTAACATTAGACCTGTGCCAATTTAAGCACTTTCACACCGACGTGATAAAAACAACATAGCATTGTTTCTGTTGTCTACATTTCATATTCGAAATGCTGTGATGAAAAGGGTGCAATTGAAAATTCGCATAAACAAACTGTTTATCTATAAATTAATTTAGTTCATCATAAATGATGAGTATCTAATATCGATAATACGTCTTCCAAGACTGGGGATACATAGTTTATCATTCTTAGACTAGTGATCTAAACGTTCTACACCCGTATGTCGGGCGTTTCCATTCAAATTGTCATCTGTGCTAAATTTCATGCCAATTTTTTTGGGAATTAACGAGATTCACTCGGTTGTTATACCTTACACCACTTGTGGTATAGGCTATATTAAGTTAGTGCGGACGTATGGAACATGCAAAAGGATTTATTTTATTATCCATGTTTTATTATACCTTCCGATTCAGAATTATTTTCCGAATCGATTTAAGCTTGTTTGCCCGTCTGATGTCTGTCTATGAAAAGTTGTGTTCAAGTTTACAAGTCGCAATTTTTGAAATATTCGTATGAAATTTGGTAGAGTGACGTGTTTTGACCCAAGAACGAACACTGTTGAAAATGGTTTGAACGGACTGTCCATATAAAGCCCTATTCTAAAAAGTCGTTATATGGAAAAAGATTTCTCGGCAAAAATCGCTAAATAGTAGTATATCGGCATTTTAAATTATTGTGAAAACTATGGACTGGCTGGGGCAATTTTCCAGATCTTTTATCATCATCATTTATCAATGCGAGTAGCCGCCGAAGAGATTCGAATCAAACTAAAAATTTTGAATTCTCTCTTAATCCTCTTGAATCACTTTAAGTGTAACATACAATTACAAAAACTTAATATACCTGATAGCATATGTGGTGTACGATATGGAATGGCATCTTCTTATTAGTTAAAATGTTAGCAATCTAAAATTTAAATTGAAAAACTTTATTACTTTTCTATTCAAGTCAATCTATTTAAGTACGGTTACGTTATACGTCTTTATTTTTCTTTTAGGCATTCAAGTGATGAAGTAATTTTTGAAAGAAATTTTCATGTCAAATATCAAAGGATTGAAAAACAAATTTAGTTAAGCGGTATATAAAAGTTAAGCGTTCAAAAACACCCAAAAATAAGAGTAAGCAAAAAAAAAAAAAAAAAAAAAAAAAAAAAAAAAAACATTAAAATTAACTGCGAAATAAATTCAATCAAATTGAAATAAGTGTAACTTGTAAATGGAATGTAAACCGATTTCTCACGGCCGAATCGATGGTCATCATTATACTGCATAAGCGTTGTTGTGAGCTTAAATGTGTTTTTTTTTTTTTTTTTTTTTTTTTTTTTTTTT